TTCTTCTTCTGTCACCGTTAGTCATAGTCCAGATCTCTGATGCATAGCGAGTAAATGTGAAGACCATGGCCTGGATCAGGCCACCTTGGTCTGTAGACTGATACAATCACTCTTTAGCATCTTGGAGATGTCCCTGAAAGCAGACTTCTCCAGTGCCTTTTGTCTTTTGATTTGCTGACTTCTGGTGCTGAAAGTGTTGATTGTGGAGCTAAGTAAGCTTAAATCATTAATAACCTCAGTCTCTTCTCCATCTATCATGATGCTGCTAATTAACCCAGTGGTGAGAATCTTTGTTTTCTTGATGTTGTGCTTCAATCAATATTGAAGACTACAGTCCTTCTCCTCTGCAGCAAGCACTTCAGGCCCTCTTCAATTTCCGCAAGCAAGGTTGTGTCATCTGCATAATGCAGGTTGTTGATGAATATTCCTCCAATCCTGATGCCATATTCTTCTTCATAAAGTCCAGCCTCCTGAATGATCTGTTCTACATACAAATTGAAAATGTATGGATATTACAATTGTAATGACCAAAACAGTATGGTACTCGTACAATGACAGGCAAATTGATGAATGGAACAGAATTGAGAACTCAGAAATCAATCCACATAACTTCGGTCAACAGATATCCAACAAGGAAATAAAACCTATCAATTGGGGACACTACAACTTCTTAAACAAATGGTTCAGGCAAACTGAACTACTACCGGAAGCAAGCTGAAATAGGATGCACACTTCTCACCATATGCAAAAATCAGCTCAAGGTGGATCAGAGACCTAGGGACAAAGCCCAAAACCAGAAAGATCCTAAGAGACAAAGGAGGGCTAAGCTTAGAATGCCTAACCCATGGTATAAAAAGAGTGACAAATATAGCCAAAAATACACAACCAGGAAAGGATAACATTGATGGATGGAACTTCCTAAAAATTAAATCTCTGTGCACAGCAAAAACATTTTCCAACAGTGTGAAAAGAAAACCTACTGACTGGGAAAAACATCTAGCAATGCCATTTTTTTACAAGGGTCTCATAACAAAAGTTTACAGAATCCTACAGGGCCTCCAGAAGTAAGACTGATAATACAGTTTAAAATGGGCAAAAGACATGTAAAGATTTTTCACAGTGGAAGACACTCAGATGGCCAGGAGGTACATGAAGAAATGTTCAAAATCACTGGCAATAAGAGAGATGCAAATCAAAACCGCAATGAGGTATCATCTCACTCCAGTAACAGTGGCAAAGTTTAACAGGGCAGCAAGTAATACATGTTGGAGAGGATGTGGTGAGAAAGGAACTCGTATACATTGTTGGTGGGGTTGTAAAATGGTACAACCATTCTGGAAGGCAGTCTGGCGCTTCCTGAAAAACTGAATGTAGAAATTCCATATAACCCAGCTATTTCACTACGTGTAATATAACCTGAGAATATGAGAATTGAGGCACAAACTGAGATTTGTACATCAATGTTCATAGCAGCATTATTCATCATTGCAAGAACATAGAAACAGCCCACTGTCCAACCCTTTCCTGATTTTCAACCATGCTTTGTTTCCTCGCTCTGTTCTAAGGACTGCTTCCTGGTCCAAGTATAGGTTTAGCATGAGCACAATCAAGAGTTCTGAGATTCCCAATCTTCTCAAAATTAGCCACAATTTGTTGTGATCCGCATACAGTGAAACGTCTTTTCATAGTCAATGAAACACAGACATTCCTCTGGTACTTTCTTTCAGCCAAGATTCATCTGACATTGGCAATAATGTCTCTCATGGCCTCTTCTAAAACCACCTTATATTTCAGGTAGTTCCAGTGGGATAATCTTTAACAGAATCATCACATTAATTTGCCAGATAGAGAAATATCCAAAATAACAGTGGCTTAAAGAACAAGAAAGTTCCTTTCCTTCTCATCTAGAATGTGGAGGCTGAGCCAGGCTGCCTGAGAGCTCTGCTCAGTGAGGTCCTTGAGACTCTGCTTGTTCCCACCTCATTGAGCCAGTCCATCCATCCACAGGATGTGGCCATGTCATCTCGGTTCAAGGTGACAGTAGCTGAAACCATCTGCTCTGCACAGCAGGCAGCAGGAAGAGGAAGGTGATAAAGAAAAATGGGGGGAAGGGTGGGCACCAGGTGTGCTTTAAGGAAAGTGGCCCTGATTGACACCAAAGCCAATGAAACAGCTACATGTGGAACTGCCCTGTCACGTTATACTCAGCTGCAAAGGAGGTTGGAAATCGGAGATTTTATGCCAAGAAGTCTTGTCCTGGTGCAAAACTAAAGAATCTGTTACTAAGGTAGCCAACGAGACAACTAGATGTTTCTGTCTTAACACCTAACACAAAAGTATAAAATTTCTGGAAAATTTTTTTTAAATTTTGATAATATATGAAATACATATTGAAAGTGGTATACTTAGAAAAATCAACAATGCCATTGTTTGCATCTTTTAATGTAGTAGAGTCTTAAATGAAACACAAGACAAGTGGTGGTTTCATAGGAGAATCCTTGCCTTCCCTGAGGGGAGATCCAAATTGATTTGCAGTCGCAGAAGCACAGGGACAACTTATCTGTCAGTGGAGGCCTTTATGATGCTGACCAAGATGGAAAATGCTGTAGACCACAGATCTACTCTGGTATACATGGAGTCACCTTGAGGCAGCATTAGCTCGACGACAGTGAAAATGGTTTTTAACTAAATGCCTTTCTCAGGTAAGTGCACACATGTGTCCACACACACCCCCTAAACCAAAACCAAATCCACTGCTATCAAGTTGATTCCAAATCATAGTAGCCCTAAAAGAGAGAATAAAATTTCCAAGGCTGTAAAACTTACAGAGCAGACTGCCTCATCTATCTCCCTAGAAACAGCTGATGAATTCAAACTGCTAACTTTTCATTTATGATTCAAACACATCATCCACTGCACACGCACACGCACACGCACACACATATACAAATTGACTCTACCTGGTTTTAGCTTCAGATCTTTCCTTCTCTTAACTATCCACTCAATATATTCCCTCCATGTTAGAAAGCATCAATGAACTTTACTTGTGATACGCAGTCAAAACATTGCATTATTTAATCTTAACCTTAAATTTTCAAATGTTAACCTGTGTTTTTACTGACTACACAAAAGCTTTTTACTGTACGGATCATGACAAATTCTCATGATAGCATTGAGAAGAACAGGGAGCTCACAACACTTAATTGTGTTCTTGTGAAATCTATACATAGACTAAGAAACAGTTTTAAACAAGTTTTCATAACGAGGTTGAAAATCAGGAAAAGATGTGTGTCAGAGTTGTATCTTTTTTCCATACCTACTCAATCTGTTTGCTGAGCAAATCATTCAAGAAGCTGGACTGTATGAAGAAGAATGTGCCATCAGGGAGGACTCATCAACAACCTATGTTATAAAGACGACACAGCCTAGCTTGCAGAAAGTGAAGGTGACTTGGAGTACTGACCACTTAAGATTAAAGACTACAGCCTACAATATGGATTGTGACTCAGCATCAAGAAAGCAAAACTCCTCACCACTGAACCATAAGGCAACATTATTATAGAGAGAGAAAAGACTGAAGTTGTCAAGGATTTCATTTTACTTGGATCCACCATCACCACCCAAGATAGCAACAGTCCACAAACCAAAGGTATGTTCCACTGGGGAATGCCGCTGTCAAACCTCTCCAAAGTGTTAATAAGGATCATGGATGTCAGTTTAAAGACTAAAGTGTACCTGATTCAAACCTTAATATTTTCAATTGCTTCCTGAGCATCTGAAAGTTGGACAATGAATAAGGAGCACTGAAGAAGAATTAATGCCTTTTTATTGCGGTGTTGACAAAGAGTATTGAATGTACGATGGGCAAACAAATAGGACTAGAGGGAAGGACAGTGAGAGCGCTGCTTAGAGGCAAGGATGGTAAAACGTCGTCTCATTTTACTTGTTCATGTTTTCAGAAAGAACAAGTCATTGGAGCGAGACATCATGCTGGGAAAGGAAGAAGGTCAGTGGAGGAGAGCCTTCAAGGAGATGAATGGACACTGTGACACACACATGGGCTTGAGCACGACAGACTGTGAGGATGGTGCAGGACAGGACAAGGTGCACGTCCACTATTCATGGGGTCCCCACGAGTCAAGTCATAGTCAACTCAACAGCAGCGAACAGGAAACTTTCAAAGCCTAGACTCTTTAGTCTACAAAACAGGAGTAAGAATAGAGTCAGTTCCCCAGGTTGTTGAGAAGAGTAAGCTGCATTCTGCACGTGAAGGACATAGCACGAGGCCTGGCTTCGAGGCAGGCTCTACGTAAATGTTACTCTCATCATTTTTACTATTATGAAGTCTTTTAGGAGAATCTTAAGTGTGCCATGTTACATGCCACAAAAGTAGCATTTTACTTTGAGATTGGGTTGCTTCCATCTTGTCTTTAATTCTCTAAACTGAGTCATCAACTCACCTTCAGACCGAATGAGGGGTCCCCAGGATGTCTGGTGCATGGCAGACGTCTCTCCACTTCTCTGGGACCGGAAATCATTGCAATTCTGTTTTGTTTTGTTAAAAGGAGAGAAACTACACATTAGTTTATAGAGTGTATGAGACATTAACTCACCATCAGGGGTGCATAAGTACGTAAAATTTAAAATCTTTATAGAAACAGATGGCCTCATATTTCTTCTGTGAAGCACCTGCTACATTCAAATAATTGGACTGTCCTTTTGGTTAGCAGCTGAATTCTAAAATTCTCCAAAACCCATCACAATAAAAATTCCCAAAGCCAAAGGCAAAGAAAGAATTCTGAAAGCAGTTTGAGAAAAGCAAAATGTCACTTACAAAGGAAGATGAATGAATTAAGGGTAAGCTCTAATTTCTTGTCAGCAATCAGTCATGCAGGGAAGGAGGCACTGGGGTGTGTCAGGGTTGTATTCTGTCTCCACACCTATTCAATCTGTATGCTGAACAAATTATTTGAGAAGCTGGACTCTCTGAAGAGGAATATGGCATCAGGATGTAAGGAAGACTCATCAATAACTTACGTTATGCAGATAACCAAACCTTGCTTGTTGAAAGAGAGGAGGACTGGAAGCATTTGTTACAGAAGTGTGATGATGACACAGGATAAAATAGGGTTTAGATGTGTTGTTTATAGGGTCACAGTGGGTCATACTCGACTCCATGGCACTTAACAACAACATTCCCCTTGATCATGTTCCACGTAACTCTTAGGTTTTCTTTGATTTTCTCCATTCATCTTTGTGGTTGTACCTCAAACAAAGTAGTGTAAAAGACCATGTTTCTCTATATTCATATCATTTCTCTCATTTATTCATTTCTACTTATGTGTCCTTCCATTGTGTTCTACATATTTCTTATACTTTATTGTCAATCTTCTGAATTTCTTATGTTTTTCTGTGGCTTCTAATTATTGAATCATCCTGCCACTTTAATCTTGTATTTCTTTTTCTAAATTCTTCCCAAGGCCTTTTCCTCTGTTTTTCTTAATACTTTTAATCATCTGATTGTTGTGTTGTTGTAAGTTGTTGAGTCACTTGCGACTCATAGCAACCTTATGTACAAGAGCCATAAACCCTGCTCTATCCTGTGCTAACCTCATTGTCTCTGACACATCTATCCCCACCACCCTAATCACCGAATCAATCCATCTTCTCGAGGGTCTTCCTCTCTTGTGCTGTCCCTTCACTCTCCCAAACATGATTTAAATTCCTAATTAGGTAATTCTTTTGTCATTTCTTTCTCCTGAGTGGGAACGGTGGGGAATATAGGGGAGGTCATGCACAAGTGTCAGTCATTGGTCTGACGGACATGAGCACGTGCTGCTGCTCACCAGGTGGGCAGGATGGCAATTAGAAGGCGGCATGCAGGTGCATTTCCAGTTGCATTCAGGGTGGAGGTGGGCGGAGTGGTGGTCTCACATTGCAGTATCTGAGCAGGGAGGGTGTCAGCGGTGGGAGTACTCATGCTCCTCATCACCAGGAGGCGTATTTCAAAAGAGTGGACAGGTATTTGCTTCCACTCTGTTAAATACACAGCAAATATCCTACTGAATGGATTTTGTGATAACCATAAATTTCATATTTTAGCAATAAAACACTGTAAAGTATGTTAATGCATTTTTTCAAAAAAGACTTAAAATCATAAATTCTTCTTCCAGTACAGTCAAGCCAGCTCTGATTCTCAGAAACTCCATGTGCATCAGAATGTAACTGTGTTTCACAAGGTTTCAAGGCTATTGTTTTAGAAGTAGATCATGAGATTTTTTTAAAGAGATGCCCACTGTTTAATTAGTAGTGAGGTACTTAATCATCTTCACCACCCAGGGACTCCTAAATTGCATTTACATATGTTAAAATTACATAATAATGAATTGATTTCATTAAAAGAACAAATGAAAAATATTGAAGACTTATCTGTTAACACCACCACCTGTCTGTCTGTTTGTTGTACTCTTGTAGCTTACTTGTTACTGTGGCGCTAGAAGCTATGCCACTGTTATTTCCAATACCAGCAAAGTAACTCATGCCATACAGGTTTCAATAGAGCTTCTAGACTAAGACAGACCAGGGGGAAACATCTGAAGATCTTCTTCTCAAAATTAGTCACTGAAAACTCCATAGCTCACAACAGAATGTGGTCCAATGTAGTGCTGGGAGATCAGCCTCCAAGTTAGAAGACAGTCAGAACTCAAACACACCAACAATCATAAAGTCGGCACAAGACCAGACAACTTTTTGTTCTGTTGTTCAGAAGGTCATAACAGCTGGAGCTGATTCAATGGCAACCAATTATAACAAAAACAATTCTTATGAGAAAAAATACTGATTTTTAGCTTGAAATTAAGAAATAAGTAAATATGTATATGTAAAATAAATACTTAAAATATTTGTTTCTGCTTCTACAAGTAGGCTAGGACAACACTTCTGCCCCATTGTAAGAAAACGTTGGCAGAATTTTCTTAGCCTTGAGCTCACAGACATATAAGAACACACCACCTAACAACAGGACAGTATGCATTCTTCCCCAACACACATAAGATAATTCTCCTGAATAGAATATATTCTAGACCACATACAAAGCCACAGCAAATTGACATAAAATATATTAATGTAATACAAAGCCTCTTCTCTGACCTTAGTGCTATAAAATTAGAAAACAGAAAAAGGAAAACATTCATTCTAAATGGTGAGAGAGTAAAAACATTCCCTTTGACAGGCAAAAAACAAAATGCCTATTTCCACCATTCTTATCCAATATCATAGTTAGAGTCATAATTAGAGCATTAATGCAAGAAAAAAATTATGGGTATTTAAATTGGTAAAGAAGAAGTGAAACTACCCCTCTTTGCAGATGACCTCATCCTATAAATACATAGAAAATCCCAGGGATTCTATAGGAAAGGTACTGCAAGGAACTACAGGAAAATTAAGCAAATTGGCAGAATATAAGATAAAAAACAAAAATCAGTGGGGTTCCTCTACATTAACAAGGACAAGCCCAAAAAAGGATATAAAGAAAATACTACCTTTACATTATCCCTAAAAAAGATTTTAAAAATATCTAGGAATAATTCTAAGCAGGGACATAAAAGACTTACACAGGGAAAACTACAAAACTCTATTATGGTATGACTGATCCACTACAGTCTTTTCAATTATTTCCTGAGCATTCTGAAAGTTGGACAGTGAATAACAGAAGAATCTACGCCTTGGAATAGTGGTGTTGGAGAAAAGTATTGAATATCCCATAGACCGCCAAAAGAACAGACAAGTGTGTAAATACACAGACAAGTGAGGAAATACACTCAGAGTGATCCTCAGAGGTCAGGATGGTGATACTCATACCACATATTTTGGGCCAGGTGTCCTTGGAAAAGGACATTATGCTAAGAAAGGTAGACTGTCAGAGGAAGAGAGGAAGACCCTCAAAAGTGGATTGACACAGTGACTGTAAAAATGGGCTCAAGCAAATCAGAGATGATGAGGATGGCAGGATAAGGCATGGTTTGCATCTGTTGTTCACAGGGTCATAGAGAACTCAAAGGCTCATACCACCAACAACAACCACAAGAAAAAGGAAGAGAACTATGTAAATGAAAAACATCCTGTGATCATGGATTAGAAGATAACATTGTGAAGCTGTCAGTTCTACCCAGCTCAACCCACCTGATTGCCACTGATTGAGAACCAACTCATAGTTGATCCTCCAGCAGATTTTCAGGAAGCAGTAAATCATGCAAGAGGAAATTGTCTCATTTTCTCGCTCAAAGCCACTGGTGGATTCGAACCACCAGAGAGGTGTGATCTTTGGGTTAGCAATGCAACTTTCTAAGCACTATGCTACCAGAGCTCCCCGCACGGAAAGGAGAGCAGATTCAAATAAATAAAGTTACACTGAAGAAGAATTCTTGGGAATTTTCAGGAAGAATATTTACCTAGTTTATCTTTGGTTGTTTATTCATTTTTACTTGATAAAGAAAGAGGTCTTTCACTTGGTGATTCCAGAACTTACTACATAACCACAGTGATCAAAACAGCCTGATACTGACACAACATCAGAGACCAATGGGATAGAGTTGAGAAGCCATAAGTAAACTGATCCAACTATGAACAGCTGATCTTTGACAAAGGGTTGAAACCCATTAAGTAGGGAGAAGACAATCTTTTTCATAAATGATGCTGTCAAAATTAGATATTTGTAGAACAATAAAACATAATTCCCCACTCCCCAGAATTCAGGCCCCAGAGCCATGCAAGCCCTGGGTCATTAACATCAGAGGAACCTTGTGCAGAACAGCAAAGACAATTGTTATCCAGAAGCTTCTGACTCTCATTGACTCAATGTGTAGAATTGAGTAGAACTGAGCTCCATAGAGCTCTCAAAGACTGAAGTTCTAGATATAGATCACCAGGACTTTCTTGCAAGGTCCTTTAGGTGAATTTTCTTCTCAACCATTTTTACCACCTACAGACTCCTCTGCACAGCAATGGGGATGAATGGAAGCTTAGAAATCCCAAATACTTACTATTTTGCATGTATTTTCAGGTGACTCCATGCAGATTCTAAGTTTGCAGTGCAGATAAACAATGGAGTTGTTGATAAAGGAAAAGATCTTCAGCTTAAACTGGGCCTTGCTGGAGTCTCCGTTCTCGATCACACTGGTGTATGTATTGGGAATGGGGCAGCTGCAAAGACAGGAGAGGAGACTAAGTATAAAACTGGTCTTTCTCAGAAAAGGAGGGGAGGAATGATGTATATTGCATTGAAACAGATGAGGGAAAGAACTGTTTAAAAGGGTTATATGATTGGGTATTCTTGTCATTATAGAAGTCCTGAGTGAAGGTTGCATATTGGAGTGAACTTGGTGGGGAAGGGATTGCATAACAATAAAGGAGTTTTTCTTTCTTTTGGGGAGAAGAATGAATTGTGGGGAGGAGGTGGGTAGGGAGAAAAGTGCAACAATGAATGACTGGAAACCCTAAGTCCCTGTAAACTTTCATTAAAAGTAATTTAAAAAAAATAAATTGGTAACCTAATTCTAAAATTCACATTGAAATTAAAAGTACATAGAATGGGGGGAGGGGACAACTGGTCTTTCTGTCCTTGATCTCAAGTGAGCCAATTCATGGCCCTATCTCACTACCACAAAGGTATCCCACAAAGGCGCCATGAGACCTAGAAGAGATCTCCTAGCCCAATATCTCCTGCGGGGCACAACCCCAAATCCGGGGGCCTAGAAATTTTAAGATGCTCCCATGTCAGGTTCTAGACATTTTGAGGTGCTTACACAGGCAGTACACCAGGGAGGTGGCAGTTCCTGGTGCCCACCTGTTGTTAATGAAACCAAACGTCACTGGATCCCTGGCATTGCTTGATGGAGTTGCCCAGCACTCTGTCAAGACCACCTTGAGGTCACTTTTTTGTCTATAAAGGCCCACTTCGATCTTGATGTCATCGCTGGCAGACACGCTGTAATTTTGAGGTATAGGAGAATCGCCAATGAATAACTGCATCTCAGTGACAAAGTTTCCAGCTCCGTGGAGGTCCTCGATGATGGTATAGACCCTGAAAGAGGGAAGGATTTTCAAGAAAGATAAGCCCTTCCTTTACCCTTTTAGAGCAACCCTAAATGGGGAGATGTGTTGCCCAAAATTTATTTCATCTTGTGGGGTCAGGTGCTTCAGAGATGGTGAGACTGGCTCAGGATAGTGAAGTTTCAGAGCTAATGCTCACAAGGTCATTATGAGTTGTATAGTCAACTCAACAGCACATACAACATAGTGACAACAACTCAACAACAACATAGTGGCCCCACATGTGTCAGAGTGTGACTGTGCACAACACACGATTTTCAGGACTGATGTTTCAGAAGCAGATCAGCCTTTCTTCCAGGATGTCTTTGGGTGGATTCTAGAACCTTCCATTTTCCAGTTAGCTACCACGTACATTAACTATTTACACCATCCACGGACTCCAGCTCCAAAGAACGATCCTCACACTGCCAGAACCACAAAGAAATCCAAAGTGAGGGTGCTAAGGAGGAGCCCAGCTATAGAGCGAAGGCAGGAGTCGGCCCTCCCGGGGGTTCCCACTCACCCCCACTGCGGGGTGTACCCCGACGATGTCAGGAGGTCGTTCCGGAAGGCGCAGTGGATGGGGCTCAGGATCTTCAGGTAGTGGATGATGCCCTCAGGGGACAGGTCGTTGCGCAGCGTGGTCCTCACCACCGTGTTGGTCATGTTCTGGACACAGAGGGCAGCGTGAGTGAGCACCTGGGCTCCAGGAGGCCGCCCAGAGGTGCCTGGACCATGGCGCTGGGTGTCAAGGAGGCTTCTTTCTAACTTTGTTCCCTAAAGTGTAAAACCTCTGACAATTTTCTTCTAAATCAGCAGGAAGGGTATAAGATTCCAGTCTCTTCTTTAACTTGTTTCTTATTTGCCAAAAGAAGGCATAAGCTACTGATTGTCACTATGTTCTGGGCACGAGTGTTTCACTCAGAAAGATACCCTGAGGTCCTAACCTCCATACCTGTGAGTGTGAGCTTGTTTGGAAAGCAGGGCCTTTCTCTAGAGATATTATCAGCACACTTGAGGTCAAATTAGCATGAGGTATGCCCTAATTCCTCCACAGCCTTGTGAGAACAAATAGAGAGAGAGGGTCATATGGAAAAAGACATCAAGCTCTGTTGAGATGCATCTACAAAGCAAATACCACAAAATGCCCTGGCTACCAGACACTAAAAGAGGCAAGGATGAATCCTCCCCCAGAGCCTTCATTCAGAGAGAGCATGGTCTCACTGATGCCCACCAGAACTTTGAAATAACACATTTCTATTCTCTAAAGTGAGTCATCTAAATTTGCCAGCACTTAATATGTCAATATTTATGCATTACATTTCTTTCTTAACAATGTCCAATTTTCCTACATTCATGCTTTTCACATTCCATGTTCCAATCACTAGTCTGCTTACAGCTGTTCCTCCTTTGTGTTTCCATATCTGAGATCTCAGCTTCAATTGCCTTGTCTGCTAGTCTAAATGTGCTCTATTGTACACAGGGGTTTTAAAGACCTGTTATTTCAGAAGTGGATGGCCAATCCTTCTTCCTAATCTGTCATCATTTTTTATATATTTAACAGTATCTGGCAGACAAGCATTTTACAGAAAGGAGCAGATGAAAGACATTTACCCAGTTAGAAAAATGACTGATAGATTCCTTGTTGCTACCCACCCTTGCCACATGTATTTCGACCCACACCTTTCCCTGCTCCACCAGCAGCCCCTTCTACTTCTGCCTACACCATTCAACACCTCTCTCCCTTGATCAGCCTTGATATGATGGCTTAAGTCTCAAGCCGTCAGGATTTCTGGGATTCTGATCACCTCATGCTGCTGCTAGTCTCTTATGATGTGGCTAGTATCTCCTCAATCTAAGAGTAAGTACAGCTATCAGGTACAAGTATCAAGGACAGCTTCCTATCTCAGACAGGAAATGCCCTCACATGGAATTTATAACTTCAGAAACCTGTGGAGGGTCAGCTATGGGTCAGTTCCAACTTCAAGGCAAGGGCTTTAGCTTTTTGATCCTATAAAGCCACTATGTGGTATCTTATTATGACACAGTATTTCATTATATCAGTATAAACAGGCCTCCGGAGTTCTCCTAGTTAGGTAAATATGAAGAATATCAAGAGGCTCTGTAGGTTCCAGGAACTTGGAGATGCCTCCAGGAGTAAAATCCTCAGGATAAGCCCTGAACACTGCTCCTGTTAACAGCCATGGACCTGCCCCTGACTGTGGTCCTACATACAACAGGATAAAATGTCCCTTGGCCATGTTCCATCTGCATGACTGGTGTGGATTGCAACGTTGTGACCCCCCAGGTTTATGCTGGCTGATTTATGAAGTAGATTGCCGGGCCTTTCTTCCTGGTGCGTCTTAGTCTGGAAGCTCCCTGAAGCCTGTTCAGCATCATAACACACCAGCCTCCACTGACAGACAGGTGGTGACCGTATGAGGCACAAACTTCGTTCAAACTTAGGTCTCCCACAGGAATGCAAGCATTCTGTCACTGAGCCAACCGCACCCTGTGCCATGAGCTCAGCTTCAATTCTCTGCAAAACCAGGTGCTGTCTAGCTCAGAACTAGGAGATGGAAGGGCCGCCGTATGCCCAGCGTCTGTTTTCACCCGCCCAGCCCTCGGCTCTACCGTCCACCACCTGAAGTGCTCACGCGCAGCTGGGACCTGCCTGGGTGCGTTCAAGCTCCCTGAACACACTGCGCAGAAACCTCCGACTTATTTTTAGCATCTTGAATTCATGCTCTACAAAGTCTGCCTGGGCTGTGGCTCCTCAGACCCCTTGGATCTGAGAACCCACTCAAAGCTCTGCCTACACCAACCCGTCCATGGCGCCGTCTGCGGCTCTGAGTTACAGCGAAGAAGCTGTTGCGCTATCTGCTTGCAGCTGCTCTGGGCCTCTCAAAATAGCCCCTGGGTGAGTGTTTGGATTCTAAAGCAAAACCCAGTAACGTCTCTTTCTTTAAATTGTTTAATCCTCACTTAGTGTTTTCCACACTATTTTTTTTTAAGTTATGCAAGTTTTTGGCGTGGTAGTGGGGTGACCAGTGGTTTGGGATCATGGAACATATCTGGGTCACCCGTCATTACCGCAGACACTCCATAGGTGAAGTCACACTCGCTGCATCGAGCCTGGGCACCGGGCACGGGTGCCTGACTCTGTGAGACCAGGACACTGTACAGTTTCTCAACTTCGCAGACCACACACAGCCCTAGCTGTCTGTCACCAGGCCAGGCCTCACCTCAAAGCTGTATGTCATGTCCGGCTGCCATACTGAGTGCCTCCTCAAGTGCCTTGTGTTCACATTTAAGCCCCCCTCTTCATTCCTCTTGGCTTCAGCAGCCTCCCTGCCTCCCCAGCCTAAGATGGGTTTCTTACACAGCCTCAGAGGTCAGACCATCCAGCCCAGGACATCCACTGGTTCTCATCCCCACCCTTCCAGCCTAACTCAGGCCCAAGACGGCCTGTCCCCAGGAGAGATTCTAACCAGGTACCTGGTACCGGCACAAGGCATGTCTGAGGGTCCCTCTGGGTCCTGGAACAAGTCGGCTCCCTCAGGAGGAAGTCAGGGGGCAAGACTGGCCTTGATCTTAACCCCTACTGGCTTTGACGAGCCTCCATGTCTTGTAGGTTTGTTAACAGTACCTGTCCATGGAATTTTAGATGGAATTTTAGGGGACTGTCAACATACAGTGGGGACACCCAGTACACACTCGGGCCTCAGAGGACTCAGGGCTGGTGGTATCCCAACCATATCTTTCAAGAACTGATTCCCCACAACTGGCAGTCCAGTACCCTGCTTCCTGGCAGCCACTCCCAGACACTCCTCTCTGTCGTCCAATTTCCCTGATGCCGATCAGGGACCTTCCAGCTCCTGCCACCTGGGCTCTACTCTTCCCCTGCTGGGACCCCCGCCACAGTCTCACTGCTAACACTGAACTCCATGCCCCACCCCTCCCTGGAGTCTTCCGATCTGATCAGAAACCACAAGAGTGCCCCCTGTATTCTAATGACCCTGCCTGGTTTCGAAGCCTTTCTCACCTACCTGGCACCAATATGTCTTCTAGCTACACTGTCCCTCCCAATCACCCCCTTTTATTCATGGAGCCTCAATTCCCAGATGCTGTCTTCTTCCACTTGGAGCCAGCAAAGTCTCCCACATGACCTGATAACCCTAAAACAGTGTTCTCACCAAAACTGAGACCCCCAGCCATCCAATGACATACATACCCCTCTTCTCACAGGACCTCAGACCCCGCTGCCCACCAGCCAGCCCTCCATCCTGCTCTGAGTCAGCCTCACTGCTGTTACAGAGTCCCTGCACCTCTGGGAGCAGTTGTAGGTGCACACTTTCTGCAGTCGGTCACACAGGGCTCCTCTATCCCATGCTCCCAGGAAGGTGCTGAGATGGCCCACGGTGACAGGAATGCTTGTTGAGCTCCAGCCCACCAGACAGGGTTGTGCACAGCAGTGGTGCTCACAGTGGGGAGGGGACCTCAGAGGGGTCCAGGGCAAAGAACTCTGGGCCAAAAACGCAGCGAGGGCTCTCTGCATGCTGAAACATCAGCAGGCAAGGAAAAACCCACCCTAACACACACACACACACACACACACACACACACACACACACACACACACACACACACACACACACACACACACACACACACACACACACAGCCTCAGATTCCAGTGGGAATCTGAGGCCATAAATTGCAGAGGAGATTGCCCATCTTTCTCCTCTGGACCTGCTGCTGGATTCGAACCACCAGAGTAGCATCCCTTTTGGATTAGCTGTGCAATTCCCTACACACTATACCACCAGAGCTCCCTTTTCTAGTGGTCAGCAAAGACCCTGCAAGGAGAAAAATGACAGGCTCATAAAGGCAAATACTGTATAAAATCATTATTGTAGAATGAGTACAAGGATCCAAGGAGAGGGGGGATGTTAATCATAGGGTCACACAATTTGATGGGTGAAGGGAGGGGTGTATAAAGGAAAGAGGAAAGATCTGGTGTGAAAAACAATGTATACAAACCTTATGAACTTTGTAAGTAAACCAGTATAAAATTTTTTTTTTAAATTAAAAAAAGAATGACAGGAGGCAGCCCTGTGGCCAGGCCCTTCTGAGTAACGCCACCTTGATTTGACACCGACACACACAGATGCACACACAAACCATAATTCACACATTTGTGTTCACACTCATGAGCATATATAAACCACCACATATGCAGACTCACCCACATTCAGACAAGTCCACGTATGCACTCAAACACCCACGTATTTATGCGCCTTAACACTCAAGCTTATAAACCACCATGCATGAAGTCACCCACATTCAGACATGTGCACATACACACATGTTTATGCACCTTCATGCTCATACAGACACAAGTACATATATGCATATCTATGTACATACACACAGTCATATATATATATATAGTCACATATGCATCTTTTTATATACTCAGACATTTGCATACTCATATATATCCACCTGTATCAATATACATATATACACACTCTCATGCACATAGACAGTCACAAGCCCACACACTCTTGTGTGCCCCTCAACTCGCCTCTTTCCTATCCCATTGGCTCTCCATCCTGTCAACCCACTAAATCACTCAGAAGGATGTGTAACCACCCAGTGCATTTATTAGGCTCTCTGCAAGGGGACAGGCATGAAGTTCCTTTCTGGCTCCAGAGTGTAGCTTGATTCTGTCTGAGGCCTCTGTCCTGCCCTAACTCTTTCTCTGGGTCTCCTCCCCATGAGATACAGACTCAGGGTGCAGCTCTCAGGCCTGATGGAAACCCTCCCATGAGCCCCCTTGTCTGCCTTCTGACTCACGCTCTGCACGTTGGTCCCGCACTCGCTCCAGCCGGCCGCCAGGAGCACGTGTGTGCTGTTGCTGCTGCTCACATTGCAGGCCGGTGCGCCCAGGTACAAGGAGGACTCGGGGATGGCCTCTTGCTGCAGGAAGCGTTTCTGGATGGCGATGGTCACCTTCTCAATTTCACAGAGCACCCTGACTGCCCCCGTCAGGTTCATTCGTCCAGGTGGGTCCTGGACAGTGAGGTTTGCACCTGACATGAGGTGTGCCCTACTTCCTGGTGAGGTGAGGGGCTGCTCTGTGGGAGGGTGATCTAGTTTGGGGACCAGAGAGGATGCAGGGGCCTGAGCTGTGTTGGCAGGAGAGTCATCTGCAAGGAGACAAAGGGAGAGGATAAGACTGATTTCCCATGACCTCTCCCATGAGGTCAGCATAGAAATCTCACCATGTGGGCTCGAGGGTGAGCCATGGCAGATGAGGGCCCACTCTGTGCCCTTCAATGGGCCAGACTGGAAATTGCCCGTTCATACAGCAACCACAGACACATACAGACACAGATACATATTCCCCAGTTTACCAGCCAGCCACCAGGTTTGGGTCAGAGGGGCCCCCACAGGTCAGAGAGGCAAAGGATCTGTGACAGTGAATTTAATGTGTCTGCATAGCCAGGCCATGCTGTTTCAGTCTGCTGGACCAAACACCAGTCTGTTTCCTATTCTTGAGAAATGCAGGTGTTTCTACGGAGTAAGCTGGTGCTGGTATTGGTGCTGGTGTTGGTGTTGGGTGCCGTCAAACCAAGTATGACTCATAGCAACCCCATAAACAGCAGATCTGAACCCTGTCCTGTCCTGTGCAGTCCTCATAATCTCTGACACACAGGAGTCCATTGCTTCAGTCTTTGTGTCAGTCAATCTCCTTAAGGGCCCTCCTCTGCTTCACTGACCCTCTTCTTTCCAAGAATGATGTCCGTCTCCAAGAACTAGCCTCTTCTAGCAACATGCCCCAAGTATGAGAGATGAAACTTTGTCATCTTTGCATCTAAGGAGCACTCTAGCTCCATTTTCTTCAATGTATATTTGTTTTTTCTTTATGGCAGTCCATGGGCTGTTCATTACTCTTCTCCATTCTCTATTACTATTCTCAATTAGAGGTACTATTCTCCTATTCTATAGTGTAATTGATGCTAATTACTTTGCATCCAATATAATGTAATCATTTCCCAAAATGTAATACAATCAATCGGATGAAAAGGGAGCTCCTGAGTATGTTCTGCCTCTTGACGATAGATAGCTTGGCCGAACTCTTGCACACATGAAGGATGATAGACAACCTGTGAGGATGTTGTTCTACAAGCCAAAGTACCGTGACCCACTCAGGGCTATGGACAAAGCAGAAATAAGGCTGGTCAAGACCCTAATTTGGGCATTTGATCTCTAGAACCATGAGAAAATAAATATCCGTTCTGTAAAAGCACTGACTTTTGCTTTGTCTATCTCAGCTGCACTAAGAGACTAGGACAGCCCCCACCCCTCCATTCTGTCCAGACTGCCTCTGGGTGCATTGAGCTTGTAGATTTGAGCAAAGCATCTAACTGCAGGGTCCTAAAGTAGAATCTCTAAGATAGGGCCCATCATTCCTACTCTCAGAAGCCTGTGGCTCACGTTGATGCCCATGGTTCCTCTTGTCCCCAGAGCATCTTTGCTTTCAAAGGCCATGTGATGCAGCCACAGGTTCCCAGTGAGAATAAGACTCATCCCCTCCTTCTCTTCCCTCTGAGTGGACCTCCATTACATAAGTGAGACAAAGACAGCCTCTGTGTATTGTCCTCGGGTTATTTGTTTATAGCAAGCTGGGATTATTACCTAAAAAAGCCCACTCATGTCAAACTCCAAGTTTCACATATTCAATGGCATTAACAAATAGTCTATATAAGCAAATAAAACTATGTCTAACATCTGACAGCAATGGATAAGATAGTTATCTTATTATCTAATAGTTATGTTGTTGTTATTGTTAGGTACCATCAAGTTGACTATGACTCACAGGGACTCTATGAACAACAGATCAGAACCCTGCTCTATCCTGCGCCATCCTTACAACCTATGCCTGTTGTTATGTGATAATCCATCTGGGTGAGGATCATCCTTTCTTTCACTGACCCTCCATCTTTTCAGGCATGATGCCTTTTTTCAAGAACTTGCCTCTCCTTACAACATGCCCAAAGTATATAAAACAACGTTTCCTTGCCTCTCAGGAACACCCTGGCTGCACAGGACAGATGTGTTTGATCTTTGGCTGGTCCTGCTGACCTCCAAAGCTCTCTGGCCCAGAGACTCCCCATGTTGCTACTAAGGGACATTTCCCAGACACGTCAGTCCCCTCCACTTCCCTTCTCCTTCCTTGGATATTGTCCCCTTGCCCTTTTCCCTGTCTGGTAAATACCTCAGGATGTTTGTAAGTCTCTTCTGTGAGGAACTGCACCTTCACCCCACATGGAGCGCCTGTCAATGTGTCAGCCCAGAACATGCTCACTGTTCAATACTGCCATCTTAAGGTTATATCTTTGCTCAAGAGGCCTGAAATACCCAGAATTCATTACAACTTCATCAAATGTTCATTCTCTTCACTTAGCTCACCTCATCTCCAGAGATCATTTTGTTGGTTTCAAACCTCTAATCATGGCATCTTCTCGTTTACCCTTGTTCCATCTCTCTCAGCCTAACTCCATTTTCTCTCACCTCTGTGAAAGTGACCCACGCCCAATCAGCCCAACCTGCATATTTAGAACTTCTCCATGTTCACTGCCTTGTTCTCACTTCCACTTCAGCCCTCTCTTGTTCATCCTTTAAGACTAGTTAGAAGACACCTCTTGCAGGAAACTCTCCTGAACAGTCACTGAATTGAAGTAACTTACACTCCTCTGTACTTTATTTTCCTTAAGCAAAACATACATTCTATTCTTGCTGGCAAAAGATTGCCCACAAAAATGTCTCTCTTCACTGAACTGCAATGCCTTGAAGGCCAGGGTTACCTGACAGTCAACAATGAGATTACTAAAAGTCCTCAAGTCTCCTCAAGCCATGTTTAATGAGAAAATTGTTGAGTGTTGCATGGTCAACTAGAAATTTTCCTATACGGGGTTTGTCACACCAATTCTGCAAGTCAATTCTTAGCATTTGGGCATTCACACCTAAACTTATCTGAGTTTGTGTGAGCATTTTTTTTTCTCATCGGCATCAAAACTAATAATTGGAGACGTAGATTGAATTGTCTTCACCTAAAATATGCCAAACTGACTGGGCTCAACCATTTTTCAGTTAAACAGTGATGTAATTTGACAGTTATGTAGTGTTGTAATCTCTTCTCAAAATGTGATCTGGTATGATCAGCCAATCAGCTGTAAGAAGATTAGGGTAAAATGTAACTTACTTACTCAGGTCACAGCCCTGATTTGATATAAGAGGCACTTCCTTGCATTAGGGATGCTGTCTGCATCACTTTTTTGCCTTACCAAGAGTTCAAAGGAAAGAGAGTTGAGTAGAGGACTAACATACTACTACTGAGAAAAAAGAGTCGGGAGTAGAGCAAGCCCTGTGGACTCATATGTGCTGAGAACAACCTAGACCAAGAGGAAGATTAATGCCAAGGCATGTGGAGATCTCCAAGGAATACAGGGCCACAGATGCTGAAAGGCGACAAGGACCTTCATCCAGAGAAAACCTTCTTCCAAAGCCTACAGAGTAAGTCTTCCCTAGACCTATTACCTTGAAGGAAGGATAATTGGAAAGTACTAACTTGGTGACATAAATGAGGCTAGAAAGAGAATGACTGAATTTTGTATGTTCAATGATTTATTCATTGCAAATCTCTTTTTAAAAAAACACAAACTGTGATGTTACACATGGGCCTAAGTAAACGGACTGTGTAGGAATAAACTGATTACGTCTGTGGAAGAAATCTTTGGAGAGGCTCAATATCAGAATCAAGCCAGGTGCTGACTGTGGAACAAATCATCAATTACTCACATGTAAGTTCAAATTGAAGCTGAAGAAAATTAAAACAAATCCAAAAGAACCAAAATATATTCTTGAGTCTATCCCACCCCAATTTAAAAATCACCTTAAGAATAGGCTTAAAGCCACTGAACACCAGTGATTGAAGACTAGATGAATTGTGGGATGATATTAAGGATATCATCCATGAAGAGGGCAGAAGGTCACTAAACAGAAGAGAAAGAAAAAACCAAATTGGATGTCAGAAGAGACTGAAGATTTCACTTAGGGCACCAAGAAGCCAAAACAAAGTGAAGGGATGCTGAAATTAAAAAACTGAACAGGAGATTTCAAAAGCCAACTCGAAAACTCAAAAGTAAACTACTATAAGAGAATGTGCAGAGACTTAAAACTGGAGACTAAAAATAGAAGAACTTGCTCAGCTTTTCTCAAGCTGAAAGAACTGAAAAACAAATTCAAGCTTAAATGATTTGAGAAATAACAAAAGAAGATAAAGTAAGTTACTTCATCTTCCTTGGATTTACAGTCAGTATATTTGGTACCAGCAACCAGGAGATCAGAAGACGTATTGTATTGAGAAAGTCTATAGTTAGTGATTTCTTCAAATTATGGAGAAGCAATGATGTCAGTTTGAGGTGCCTGATTCAGCCCATGGTCTTTTCTCTCATTTGCTTTGTATTTGAGAGCTGGACAATGAATACAGAGGACAGAAGAAGAATTGATGCCTTTGAACTGTGGTGTTGGAGATGAATGTTAAATATCCCATGGACTGCCTGCCAAAAGAATAGTTCTGTCTTTTAGAAGGTGCAGCCAGAATTCTTCTTGAAGGTAAAGATGATAAAGCTTCATCTCCACTACTTTGGGCATGTTGCAAGGAGAGGTTATTCCTTGGAGAGCGACATCATACTTAAAAACGTGGAGGGGTAGCACAGAAAGGAATGCCCACAATCAGGTGGACTGACACAGTGACTGCAGCAATAGGCTTGAGTGTGTCAGAGACTGTGAAGAAGGCACAGGATAGGACAAGATTTAGATCTGTTGTTCATAGGATTGCTATGAGTCTTACTTGACTCAACAGCACCTAATGAAAACAGCCTCCTAAACTGTGAGAGAATAAAATTCTATTTGTTAAAACCATTCATTTGTGGTACTTTTGCCATGGCAGCATGTGGTATCAGAAATCTTGAAAACTGGCTTTTCTATGCATTGTGTTAGCCCCAACTGGGGGCATGGTCTCCAGCTACTTTAACCGAGGACACATGGTCTTGTCAGTCATCAACAGCTGTGGGACTAATATTTAAAAGCACTTTGTACACTGGGAAAGATGGTTGTGGAGAGAGAGTGAAGAGACTGTGGCAAGATATAACCAGAGGAACCCTGGAGATGGAGCCACAGTAAAAGGTTTTGTTTTTTGTATGATTGAAGGAAAAGCTGACTTGTAACTCTCTGAGGTAAAGTTTGCCGGGCAATTGAGGAAAGCAGAGGTTCCTTGTATTTGTGCTGTTGAATTGAAACTAGACTTTCATCAATTGAAGAATTGAGTCTAGGGACTGCTGGACTAAACTTGGACTTGCATTGTGTGATATTATTTTGCCTTTCCCACTTCCAAGTCTATTTCTCTAATAAATCCCACAACTCTGAGTAAAGTTTGTTAAGTCGATTTACAGAAAACATTGGACCCAATGATTGGTAGAAATAGGAACAGGAAAATGGGGAGTGGCATATCTGACAATGTAGCTATTTGTATGGTGCTATGGATATTGATGGGGACAGTTCCCCTACATGAAGTGGGTAAAAGTCAAACTTGGCCACCCCTACATTACCACTGCTCCTTTCCCACAGCATTAGTTAGCTAAGACAAGGCACCACTCAGAAGGCTGAAGATACACACACACACATACACACGAATATACACATACATAAATATGTATACATAACAAACTTGCCTAGGCCATTAAAGTAGGCTGCGGTGTTTGTGGCTTTGTTTGGTGTTTTGTTTTGCTTTTGTTTTGTTTTATTTTTTGTTTTTAAAAAAAGGTACAATGCCATTCAAAGAACATATTATCAAGCTGTTTTCCAGGCCAAGGATAATGAAGACTTTACCTTCACAGGGTCTCCCAGAATACTCTACCCAGAAGTCAGAGTCTCCTCCTATGCAGCTGCACGTGAAAGACCCAAATGTGTTGTGACACAAGGCCCCAGGCACACAGTCATCCTCGCCTCTTGCACATTCGTCGTAATCTATATAACAGTTAGAGAACATAGCAGAAAAGCATCACTGTGAGCAGGAGGGGCACTAGTACATGAAGTTTATACTCTGCTTTTTACATACATCCCGGTGGGAAAATGCACCTCATGGAGCAAACAAGAGTCTTTGAACTAGACGAACCCTTGTAAAGACTGCAGGTTCTGCAGAGACTGGGGAAATGGGTGGCACCCTGAATTCCCCCGGGGGATGGAGTTAAGTGAGTGGGAAGCTGTCTATAGGAGTTTCTCCTGTTGTGGGGGGCCATCTCTAGAGGGAGGACTTCCAGTCCTGGGCTGGGAGCAAAGACTTGACAAAGCAGGATCATCAACCAGGAGGTGAGCATGGACCTCTCAGCCACAGTCCATGGCCACAGATACAGAAGGCCCTGCCAGAAACTCGCTTTGCCTTTGATCTTTAATGCACAGTTTATACAGCAATGCTTATTTCCTGCAGAAAATAGATATAATCCAGTAAAGCATATAAAATCCATTCCTAAAGCCACAACCAAGAAATATTAGTACTCACATATTGATGCATTTTCTTCTGTATCTTAAAATATGTTACGATATAGCTCAGAAAATGTTTATCTATACCTGTGCCTCTCCCACTTATCCTTATACCAGTGGTACTTTTTGTCTCAAGAAATCTTCTTTTTCATAATTACTTAACAGTTGGTTGTTGCTGTTGTTAGTGGCCACAGAGTCCACTATGACACAGAGCAACCCTATGAGCTCCAGAGAGAGTCCTTGCCCTGTCCTGCCCCATTCTCACAACCTCCGCTGTGCTTAAGCCCACTGGTGCAGTCCCTGTGCCAATCCGTTTCCTTGAGGGTTCGCCTTTCTTTCTCTGCCCTACACTTTTCCCAGCAAGACGTCTTTTCCCAAGTTCTAATGTCTCTAGACAATGTGTCCGAAGTATGTGAGACTAACAGTTCATAGTATGGGTAATTCATTTTTTTTTTTTCAAAATACAAACTTTTTATTCGTCTCCATGCACAGGACATTTCTTCTGAACAGGAGATGCCCTGGACACTGAGCCCAGAGTCAAGCGGTCCCTTCCCACCCTCCATTAACTCAAGTAACCTGAGCTATTAACTTAGAGAAGGAGCCCGGGTGGCACAGTGGTTGAGTGTGGTAATTCATATTTTATATCTCCCCTTGTTGTAAGACTAGTGGGCCTGGTGGTACAAACAGTGAAGGCACTGGGCAATAAATGAGAGACTGGAAGCTTGAATACACCACCTATAGGTGCCTCAGAAGAAAAGCCTGGTCATCTACTTCCCAAACAATCAGCCGCTGAAAGCCCTCGGGAGCACAGTCCTCAGGCACACACCGGATGCTCATGAGACAGAGTTGACTCGAAGACAATTGGGTTCATTATTATGGAAGTATTAGTTCTTTCATTTCTTTTCTTTTGAAATAATAGAAATATCTTTATACATTATTGATGGCTTGTGTTGAGGTCTGTTTCATCGAGAAAATGTCCTGGAAGTGGTTTTTCAAAGTCAAAAGTAAATGTACATTTTCAAAGTACTTGACATATAATACCAAACCAATTTTCATAAAGTTTAGCAATTTCTATTTCCACCAGCAATTTATCCAAGGGCCTAAACAATCATACTTTCATAAGTATTATTCAAAAACAAATTTTAAAAACCCAACTTCTTTTAACATGTCTGTATTTATTGTCCCATTTTTGCCAGTTATTGTATTTCTCCTTTTACGGTCTATTCAGGTCTTTTGAACATAATTTGTGAGATTATTTTTGTTTTTCCTCAAATTGTACAACATATATTTAAAATACTAATTCTTCATCAAACTCTTTGAAAGATTTTTTCTATTCTTGCTTATCTTATACTTATGCTTCTATTTTATTTGATATAAAATATTTACATTTTAATGTGATCAAATATTTCAGTATTTTTCCTTCTTAAGTTATACTTCTGGTTTTAAACTTGAAAAATTCTTATTATCTCAAAAATTAGAAAAATATTCATCTATATTTTCTTCCATTTTATCTATGAAGGTTTGTACTTTAGTATCAATTACAAGATGAGAAAGTAATCTCAATTGCCTTTTGTTCCTTGCTTTTCAATTATTTTTATCAAGATCTCTTTAGAAACTGTGTTTGTGAGGAAACTTGGACACAGGTAGGAGCTTGTGTGTCCAAAGCTCATCAGAACAGGTGACCAGGAGCAGGATCCCATCTCCATAGAAAGGAACAGCACCCCTGGGAATCTATGCAGTCCACCTGAAGAACTGTTGAATCCTTAAATCTTTAAATAATCAACAACAATAGACATGGAAGAGATAGGGAGGCCATAAATGTTCATATTATTGAGAGGAAAGCATATAAAATTAGATCATTGGGAATGGCATTTCCAAAAACAAAGGGATTTTGGTCTACCCATAGAGTGGAAAACTCATGCAATCATTTACTCACTGTGGTCAAGTTGGAACCAACTCAGAACTGACCCTCAGTGGGCTCTCAGAGGCTGTAAATTGCATGGGAGAGAACTGCCCATCTTTCTCTCCTGGAGCAGCCGGTAGATGTGAACTGCCAGAGAGGAGTCACTTTTGGGTTAATAGTGCAACTCCCTACTCTCTAGGCCATCAGAACTACTCCGCAATAAAAAGTATTCATGCACACAACTTAGATGGGCCTCCAGGAAATTAAGGCTCAATAAAAAATGTCAACTTCAAACAGAGATGATTCTATTTCTATAACATTCTTGAAATAAATTAAAGAGGTCAAATAAGATTAATAGAAACCAGAGCATTTTTAGAGATTGGAAAAGGATGAAAGAGAGTAGCTTTGGCTTTAATATAAAGTGGTAGCAAAAAGTTAGTTCATGGTGGTGGAGCACTTTTGTATCTTGCTTGTGGTAGTGGTTACATTGTGATAAAAATTGCACAGAACTGTTTAGACACACACATACACACTCTCTCTCTCTTTCTCTCTCTCTCTCACACACACACACACACACACACACACACACACACACACACACACATCCCGCCCTAAGCCCTAGTGGTTCAAATGGTTACACATTCTCTTGTTAACTAAAAGGTCAAAGATTCAAAACCCACCCAGTGATTCCACTGGAGGAAATACCTGGCTGCTTTCTCCCGTCCAAATCACAGTCCAGGAAACACTGTGTGGGAGATCTGCTTTTCCACATGAGACTGCTAGAAGCAGACTTTGCTCAACGGTAGACCACACCCAAAACACGTGAACAAACACAACCACACATACGCAAGTATAATGTATAAACATTGTACTTGTTATACACTTATTTATACACTTCACACGTAATCAGTGACATCTGAAATCACTCCTTGGATTGTTGCATCCACACCAGATTTCTGGTTTTGTCTTTTTCTGTCCTTACGTGGAGTGTTATCACTGAGGAAACTCAGTGAAAAGTCTATAGGACATTCCTGGGAATTGTTTGACCTTTCTGTGTCTCTGTCATTATTTCAAAATTAAGTATTTAATTCATTTATTATTTGGAAAAGGAGATTGAACCGTAGTTGGGCTTTTCTTCCTCTGCTGCTAGACCCTGATTGAGGTCTCTGTGGAGCCCAGCCTTCCCTGTACCTTGAATGAAGGTGTCGTCTCTGACCACCTGCAGCGGCGACATGTTCTGGAAGCTGGTGAGGAATGCACTGGACACCTCCTGGGCATCCACATCCGTGATGATCAGCAGGTCGAATGCCACCACGACACTGCCGTTGCTGATGCTGGTGATTTCCATCTTAATTCCACCCTCGTCCATGAGTCGAAGCGTGGGGGCTGGCAAGGCATCCTGCACCTTTAAGGAGACAGATCATGGTAGATGGAATTTGCTCCAGGACTTAAGAACGATAAATGACATAGCTGAGCCTCTACATCTTGTGGTTCCTAACCT